GGAGGTGGTAGGTAGTGGCGGGGGGCATTCCAAGGTGGTGGAAGAGGGTCTCACCTACGCTGTGCCTGGGCTCTGATGGCAGGTCCCACCAACGCAGGGTAGCCAGTAGCTCTCTCACACACTCACCCGGCCTGGGCTAGGACTGGGTCTCATCAGCATCACTTAAATGGAGAAATACTTAAAGCTTTTACTTGAAAATCAGGAGCAAGACACGGATGGGCACTATCACCAGTACTATTGAATATAATTTCCCTCATTGTGATTTCACCGCTATAAATTTCTCTCGGAAAACTGCTTTCGTTACATCTCACAAATTCCAATAGCCTATGTTTGAATTTTCATTGGATTATAGACATTGTTTAATTTCTTGTTTAATTTCATCTGTAACCCATTGGTTGCTGAGGAGGCTGTTATTTAATTTCCATGTGTTTATGGGGTTTTTGTTGTTTCTTTTATGATTAATTTCCAGTTTTAGTGCACTGTGGTCAGATAATATGCATGAGATAATTTCTGTTTTCTTGCATTTGCTTAAGAATGATCTATAGATTAGATGTATTCTATTTTAGAGCATGTCACATGTGCAGCTGAGAATGTTGATTCAGACGTTGTTGGGTTGAACACTTTGAAAATGTTCACCTAGTCCATTTTTTCAATACCTCTTTGCTACTTTTTGTCTCATTGACCTATCTCTTTGAGATAACTGGATGTTAAGGTCCCTTGTTAAGACTGTGCTATCATTTATTAGACTTTCATGTCGCTTAAAATTTGTCTTATATAATTAGGCGCTGTGATATTTGGTGCACACATATTTATGATCATTACCTCATCCTTGAAGTTTTCCAGCAACAAGGATGTAGTGCCTTTTTATCTCATTTGTTCATTCCTGGTTTGATGTTCACATTTTCTCAGAGCAGAATAGGTTTTCCTGCTTTGCTCTGAGTTCATGACAAATGTTATATTATTTTCCATCCTTGGACTTTCAGCCTATGACTTTCCTTCTGAGTTAAATGAGTTTTTTGTATGCAGTATATTGTTTGTTTCTTTCTTTTTTTTATTTTTTTATTTATTTTTTTTGTTTGTTTCTTTCTTGATCCATTCTGCCAGTCGATTTCTTTTAATTAGTGAATTTATGCATTTTTCATTTGTGGTCATAAATGATATATAATGACATGCTTGTCATGTTGTTTTTCTGTTGTTGGTCCCCTACTATTCCTGAATTTAATTGCTTGTCCTGTTTGGTGGCTTCTTTCTGTTGTTGTTCTTGGAGTTGTGTTCATTTTGATATCTTTGAAGAATATTTTTCTGTAATCTTTCTAGGGTTTGTTTTATTGTCATGAATTTCTTTAGTTGTTCTTTGTCATGGAAGTATTTAACTTGCCATTATTATTATTTTTTTTTGGTGGAATTGGGGATTGAACTCAGGCCCTTGTGCTTGCCAGGGAAGCATTTATTCAAAGAGCCATCTCCCCAGCCCCTTTCCATTAATTTTGAAAGAGAGTTTTTCAGGGTGTATCAATCTCGGTTTGAAGCTGTTTTTTTTTTTTTTCCCAGGAATTGAAATACTTCATTCCATCCTCTTCTTGACTGGAGGGCTTGTGTTGATAAGTGTGCTGTGAATACAATGAGCTTTCCTTTAAATGCAATCTGCTTCTTTTTTCTAACATCTTTTAGTATGTTGGTTTTTTTCTGAATTTCTGGGATCTTGATTATTATGTGTCTGGTTGTAAATTTATTTTGGTTGTTGCCATTCGAAGTTCTATATGCCTCACTGCATCTCATATTCTTTCCCTATGTTTGGGAAGTCTTTTTTCTATTAATTCTGCAAAATTTATGTCATTTGCATTGACTCAATTTTTATTGACACCTGTCCGTCTTGTGTTGCTCACCAGTGCATCGTTTTGTAGCTGTTGAATTATTTCCTTGTTCCTTGTTGTTTATAAGAGCTCTTTCCTTTTCTCACTGCTAGCTGCAATTATGTCTTCAAGGTTTGAATATCTCTCTTCAGTTTTGTTTGAACAGTTTTGCCGGCTTTTAATGGAATTTTTAATTTCCTGGATATCTGTTTGAATCTGTCTCATGAATTCTATTTCTCTTCTATATTATTCATTCAAGGTTTGCATCATTTTTCTATGTTAAACTATTTTTTATTAGTGTCTCTTTTAGATATGTCCAGTAATTCTTTATTATATTTATCATTGCTTATTTTGACTTGGGAGATTATTTCCGATCTGATTTCTTCTATAACTTTCTATAGTTGTTTTTTTATTTCCATTGCTATTATTTCAGAGATTTCAGGTGTGTGACTTTCAATTTCTTCTATGCTGATGTCTTCTGTATTTGTTGTGGGTGGACTAGGGGGCCTGAGATTGCATTTTGCTCATTTGTCTTGTTATTTTATATTTCAGAAAATATAAGGAAACTTTTATTTCTGTAATACTTTTTGTGAAATTTAGATAGTAGGTATCTATATCGCTGCAATCAGATCCTCTCTATGAATAGTCTATTCTTCATGTATGTCTTTTGTGTGTCATAGATTCTTGGAGTGTCTGTCCCAAGAACTTACTGTTCTCTTCATTGAAAGAGGACTATTGTTTTCCACTTGGCACTCTCCTCCATCTTTTTTATAGGGCTTTGATGAGGTTATTATCTTAATGCTTCCTGATTTTATTACCCAAGCCAGCACATATGGTTAAGAGAGATACAGTATCTTAGTTACAGTAATACAATTCTCAATAATAATAAGTGAAATGTAGAAACTGAAAAACTGTAGTAATAGTTATGTAGTTTATGTAGTTATAGGAGAAACATTATAGTTGTATAACAAAATAGTTTGTAAACTGGGATTTTTATGTAAACTAGCTCACATGAGTTTTGTCTGGGCATCTCTCTGCACCTGGAGTACTCAGTACAGACCAGTTCACATGAGTTCCCTCCTGCCACTTCTGTGGTGTGGGACTCCTCCCTGGAAGTCCATGTAGCCGTTTGGGCCCTGCCAGGAGTAGCTGTTCATCTCAGCTCCTCCTTGCTCATTAGTGCCACAGTCTGGGTCCCTGAAAATTTCTTTTGAAATATTTTAATGTTATAGATTTATACTTTAATGAAAAATATAAAAAGCACTCTTCTTATTTTGATGAAAAAACTTACCCAGAATTTCATAGCAAAACTATTAGAAAGCCATCAGTGTTTATTATATCATATACCTTAATCTGAAAAGAATGTCCAAAATGACAGAGGGCAAGCCATAGGCAAGACAAACTCTTTCATAACAGTGCACATTCCCATCATCCCTGCAGAAGTGCATTATCTATCCCTTATAACAAATATAGGCCTGTATTTATGCATACCAATCTCTCATTGCTAAATTTACATTTCATTAACATTTGAAAGGGATAGGATCACATTTTTACATTATTTTGAACTATTGCATTGGTGGATTCATTTTCCTTTTGAAAAATCTTACTATAGCCTTTAACATTGTTTTCTTTCTTTTTCCTTTTTTATTTTTTAAAGAGAACCAAAAATAGTGAAAAAAATGACCCATCAGAAACAACACAGAATTTCACTAAACAAAATGACAAGAATTTGACAGTGTTTGTTATATTGGATATTGTCTCTAAATTTTACATATGTAGAAAAAATACTTGGTTACTCTACGGTTATAAAATGTTTTGTAGGGGTTTTGTATTTTACAAACATTTTATATACAACATTTTAAGGTGAAAATAAGACTAAAGTTTAAATATAGACCTCTTTTACTGTAGTTTTCATTAATATTACCTCTATTTAATCTTTCACATTTCTTCTCCACCAAAAGGCTAATGTGTATTTGTCTCTGTATTGATTAATAATACCAAATTTATAATACTTGGGATATATATGTTTATATATGTAAATGACATATGCATAGGTATATACAGACACATCGTTTCTTTTTGTTCAGTTCTGTCATAACACTGCGTTTATATATTGCAAAGGTGTCACCAGCATTTTGAATATAATTCTAATTTAATTTTTTCAGATTGTTCCTTCTAAAATATTGTTTTCTTCTTATTTTTTATTATTTTTGTTTTCCTTTTATTAAAAGAAGAATTCATATTCCTCATATTCACATAAGGAGCCTTAAAAAGAAGTTAACTAGATAAATCATTAATTAGGCCTTAGTGTTCAGAGAAGCAACATAATCCAAAATTATTCTCTGATATACTCTGATATAAGAACAGGCTTCAGGCCACACAAATGCTTATGACCTTATCACTGGCACATACCTTTGTTTGCATGATGGTAGGAAAGTGAAACAATAAGAGCCATTTAGAATATTCACTGGCACAAAACTTATTTTTGCATTGATTTGTTTCTATTTTTGAAGCCTGGGCTGCCAGACTTTTGAGTCCCCAATATTATCCCATTATTCTCAAGTTATTTGCTTATTTCCTCCTTTGTCTTTGTACTTTCAGGTGAATGTCATTGCAGGAATAGAACACATTTAGTGTCATGTTAATATGCAAAATTATTTTATATATTCTTGATACAAAATAACATTTACAAAACTCATACTGAATGTGATATACTTCTTCATTTTTCATACATTTCCTTGTGATTTAAAGCATTTTCTTCCATGTATGTGAAAGTTTGATTGGAGTATCTGAGGTTGTGATTGTTCATAGCGAAGGGCTCAGAGTGTCTGAGGAATACTCTGAGGGCATGAAACACCCCAGGCGAATGGTTGTTCCAGCCCCAAAATATAGTGATAGTCGAGAGCGCAGAACCTCAGACTTGTCAGGAGGGCCCCATCCCCATACTGTAGGGATTTGTTGGTCTCTCCATGGTCTCTGGGAGAAAATGGTGAGAAGATTTAGGAAATAAAGATAAGAGATAATAGCTGGGGTCAGGTGGAGAACCATGTCTTATTGGCAAATGATCCCTCAACAATAGTAAGGGCATTTATTTATGCCTTTGCAAAGTTAGAAGACACAAGATTGCCTAGCTACTAATACCCCACAATGTCCAGGTAAGATATTTTTCTCAAGAATGAGGTAGCTTGACTGCTTTAGGCAATGAGCCCTCATCATTCCCTTCCACATATAATCAATTTCCAGCTCTAGTGGCTCCCAACACCATACCTCTAAGTTGTACCTCTAGTCCAAAAGGTGGAGCAAGGAGGTTTCACCTAACATCATCTTGCTGAATACATAAATAAATGCACTTCAATGGTTGAGCAGTTTCTTTCCCTCCTTCAGGAGAGAGGGCTCCACCTGACCTCAATTTTCTGTATATTGTCTCATCTTTATTTCTCCATCCTCTTACTATCATTCCCCCTGGAGCTTCAAGAGCTGTACTAGATGAAGCAGAAGTTAACAAGAAAATTTCAAAGCACAAATTGTGTTTTTATTTAGCTATTTCCCTGAGCCAGCTCCTCCAATGACAGAACAAATTTTCTGCATGTTCATCATTAATTAGGACACTTTCTTAAATTATGTTTGCATATGAAAACATATAACAAAATTGTTAAATTAAACAATGATAATCTATTTTAACACTGTGGACTATGAAAATGTGAAAGAATGCATATACTTCAAAGTTTATGGGTGGCAGTTTTGTCCTCACATGACAGAAGAATGGGGAAAAGCCTGCATGAAATCTTATAAAATACTAATTTTATTCATGACAAATCTACACATGTAATGTAATCTTAATTTCACTCTAAGTTAATCTTTTAATACTATCACATTCATGTTCTGAGACAAAAAGAAGCATTTTGTTCATTAGTCATATTTTCCATTAGTAGGTAGGAATATAATTGTGAATTTAATCTTTCCTCTAAAATCTTCTGTGTTTTTTATGCAGTCTTATGCCCATGACCTACCTCAATGTGCTGTCCTTCATGTTTGCCATTGAAGAGATCAATAGAAATGTTCAACTTCTACCCAACACATCCCTGGGATATGAGTTCCACAATTTCCTGCACAGTCATTGGTGGATAATGGAGAGTCCCATCACTTTTCTCACAGGAAAGAATGAGATTCCCAATTATACCTGTGGGAGAGGGAGCAAGGCCACAGCTATACTTATGGGAACATCAGGGGCAACTGCTGCCCAAGTTGGACCACTGCTGGAGCTCTACAAGTTTCCACAGGTGAGGCTGGGAGCGATGTGATGGGATAAGACCATGTTCCTTGTGGTATCATCCTCAGTGGGAGGAGGACACTGGACTTACACTTTTTTCAAGGTGTGGACTCAAAGATAAGTACATAGGGATTGGGTTCACTACCCACATTTTGCTTTCCTTTTTTTATTAGTTCATGATAGCAGTATGTAATGATTCCATTTACCAGGAGGAGTTGGTACATGTGTATAGCACATATTAACCTTTTAAAACCCCAACTCTTTCCCATTCTTCCTGCTCTTCCATCTTCATTCCCTTCCCATTTACTAAAACTTTGCAACAGAAAACATGGTGAGAGGAAAGGAGAACAGGATGTTTTCTAGAAGTCTGATCTTGAGTGGTTACTTTCTGAAAAATCTCCAGGGGTGAGATAAGTAAAGGCTATGATGAAGAAATCTATCACTTGCAGCTGTTGCTCAGCACCACTCAATCTGAGATCATGCTTTAGATCAGCTCACTGTCTCATACTGTTTCTAACTTTCTTTTCCTTTTAGATTACTTTTGGCTCTTTTGATCCTCTGCTGACAGAAAATGGTCAGTTTCCTTCCTTGTATCAGATGGCCTCAAAGGACACATCTCTGGCGCTTGGCATGGTCTCCTTGTTGCTTCATTTTAGCTGGACCTGGGTGGGACTGGTCATCACAGAAGGTCAGAAAGGCCTTCAGTTTCTCTCAGACGTGAGAGTAGAGATGGACAGGAGCAGAATATGTGTATCATTTGTGAAAATGCTTCAAATTACTCTTGGTGCTTTTTATGGAACCTTGCAATATGATTTCCAGGCCAGAGAAACACCACCAGTGAATGTGGTTATTGTTTACTATGATAGTGAGAGTCTAAGTGATGTAAACTTTAATATAGGGGGATATCTAGTGACATGGAGAGTCTGGGTCACAAACTCACAATGGCTGGCTGACATGACAGGGAGAAATTTTATACTTGACTCATTCCATGGGATGTTCATTTTTTCAAACCACCATGAGGAGATTTCTGGCTTCAAAAATTTTATTCAAACAGCTAATCCTTTCAAATACCCAGAAAACAATTTTCTTTCTCTGTATTGGTTCAAGAATTTCCAATGTTCATTATCTGATTCTGGTTGTTCATTGAGGAACTGTCCACCCAATGTCTCTTTGGCATGGCTGCCTGCAAATCGTTTTGACACAGCCACAAGTGATGCGAGTTCCAATGTATACAATGCTGTGTACGCTGTAGCTCACGCCCTCCATGAGATGCTTCAGCAACAAGTACAGACACAATCAATGAAAAATGGAGACGACATAGTGTTTTCTACCTGGCAGGTAATTCTGTTGTATTAGATGACCTAAACTGCTATAAAAGTGTATTTCTTACGGAGTTTCAGCAGAGCTCAAACCAAATAGTTTAAGAACTTGTAGTTGCAAAGCACGAAATAATTTAAGGCACCATTTGCAAAGAAGAAAAGGTATTAATTGAGCTATTGTTTTGTGTTTCATCATACGCAAATGTCCTGCCTGCATAATGTTTTCAACAAGACAAAACTAAAGTTTTCCCATGGTGCTCTTAAAAGACAATAAATATTTTGTAGCTCTTATGTACCTAACTGGTACTAAGAACTCTAACAGATATATTACATGAATTTTCTCACTTAATTCTGCAGCCACATTTTGTATTCATTATTTCTTTTTTCTACTAGATGTTTTATAAAGAATCATATAGAAATTGGTTGTGGAAATCTTTGGCTCAACAGAGATTTTTTTTTTAACCTAATGTCCTAAGTTTATTGCAATCAGCTTGGTTGATACATTTTCTCTTGAAAGTCACTAATATTTTATGAACTTTAGGCTTTAGTTCTCCTTAGATCTTCATTGTTCCAGATCATTGCATGCCTATAATAATCTGAATTATAACACGAGTATTAAAGAACCTCAGGGATTTTCTTTATTCAGATTTTATGTCCTAATTATGAAACTAACTTTATCATAGAATGGTGTTTCTTTTTTAGCTGCACCCCTTCCTGAAGAATATGCACTTTATCACTACTACTGGAGACCAAGTGAATTTGGATGACAAACGAAAACTGGAAACAGAGTATGACATTTTCAACTTTTGGAATTTTCCTGAAGGTCTTAGAATTAGGATGAAAGTAGGAGAGTTTTCCCCACATGCCCTGCATGGTCAGCGATTGTCTTTATCTGATCATTTAATACAGTGGGCTACAGAAATTACAGAGGTAATTTGAGTGTAATAAGAATTTTTTTCATTAGAGAAGCTATTTTTGGAGAAGTCTTTAAAGGATCTCTTCATACTTCATGCCAGTTCAAATATTTTAGGTATATGAATTCAGCAAAATAACCCAATATAACCCAGTAATCAATAATAGCAGTGAGCTATTGTCAGAAGTTGTTGACGAGCCTTTCACAGATCACCATATTAATATAGCTTTACTTTTTATACTTCATCATTACCCTTTTATGCTGAATGGTTAAGACCAAGGTAAAGCAAGAACTATATAACTAAAAATGTAACTTTTGCTATCTGATAAGGTCAATAGAATCCCCTCAGGATTTACCCTGGAACCATGGACAGCAACTTGTAGATCTTTTGTCAATGTCAGCCATGTGGATGAGTCAAGGCCACTGCTTGATCAATTTGCTCTCTGTGAAAGTCTGAATTTTTTCTCTCTAGGTGACTCTCCTTAGGCACACTATATATCATTGATCACTTTCCTCTGTGGCTCATACAAAAAGGGGGAATATAAATAAAGAATCATTTTGTAGTGAAAAAATTATATATATATGTATATAAATATTATTTAATTATAAACATATATATGTATATATATGAATGATAGGATATGTATATATATATACATATATATATATATATATATATATATATTTATAGCTACTTTCTCCTAATTCAAAGACAAGAAAGGTTTGTACTAATACTGTTTAGACAAGTCATGATGTTTGCATCTTGTGCTCTGAATAACTACTACAAGGACAATATACAATGTATTAATTATTGCAACTGTCCTACTAATCTGTTTTGAAACAGTTTCATTCTTTTTTATCTTTTTTCTCATTAAAATGAATAAAAAAATTAAAAGAATTTTCTTCATTGAATGTAAATTAGCAAAATCTGGTTGTGGGATTTTTTGACACCAGCCCTTTTTCAGCATTGCCATTTGGATGGTGGGTTCTTCTGTCTACCTAGAAAAATTTACAAAGCAGAGTGAAAAGATAATTAGGAAAAAGTATTTATTAGAAAGCAAAAGCAGAAGGGCTACAGGAAATTGAACACAGGAGGAGCCTGAGCTGATTGCCTTGAGGACTCTGTAGGGATTGTTATGCACAACAGTTACTGCCTCTCAGTCAAGTTGAGGTCAACCTGCAGAGTATCAAGTAGGGAAGGCTGGCTTAAAAGTGGGCCTGCAGGAACTCGGGTATATAGAAAGCAAATTTTCACAAGCACCACTAATTGCAACATTCCTAAAATTAAATCCAAGACATGCTTCAGAGGGGTATGAATATAGGCTTGGTGGTGCTCGGATCCACACCCTAGTTTCCTCTGATTTCTAGGCAAGAATATCTCTCCAATCTCATGAGGAATTTGTTTCCTCTGAAGCCCTGGTCTTAGGCACGGTGTCCTTCATTGAACATTCCTGACTTATTCTGTGTATTGACCTTTTCCTTGGCTGCCTGTCCTGTCCATGGGCTTCCCTGAAAGAAGCATTCACACATCCTCCTCGCCTCATGTACCAGTGTCACTCTTGGAAACACTCTCACCTCTTCTCAGGGACCTGCTCATTGTAATGTACATCATATTTTACAGAAACTGATTGTCTCCATTAATGTTGGGAGCCTCTTCCTGGTTCAGAAAATCATACTCAAACACTAGGAAAGAGAAGCCAAGCCAAACCATGCGTGCACGGGGACTCATTGTTCTTGTACTTAGGTCTCTTTCCATTTCTATGTTTCATTCAGAAAATGGTTTTATATGTACACTTTTACATCAGGCTTCTAAATTAAATGATATTTTTTGTGATTTCATTGTCTTTTATTTATTTTTTTAATTTTTAAT